GGGACAAAATCCTCAAAGAAAGCATTTCCATTTTTTGTCTTCTGTCCCTGTGACGCTTAAAGCTCTCGAAGCAGAACGCATCCCCGGCCCGTCTGGGCTTTTAAGCCGATAGCTGTTCACTGTCATTTCCTCTCATTTTTATTGCTTTAAGTTAAAAAATGTATTGAAGTTTAGGCATAAAAGCATCTGTCTTTGTACATCAACATAGTCAGTTCAGTGCTACCCCTGAGCCTTTTCAAGTCATTAGTTTTAGACTATAACAATTCTATAATAGTTCTTATAAACACCTATAAGGTAAATTCGAGGATATTATTCAAAAACTTCCTTCTGTCCATAGAGCTGATTAATGATGTCACCTTTTTGAGGGTATCTCTATGGTTATATTTAGTGGCATTTTGAACGGCCTTTTCATTTTTAAATTTAGAAACTACAACTACATGTATTTGAGGATTTCTCTCTTTTTTCAGATATCTTTATTTATTTCAAGATGTCTCGTATCATCACAAGTTTCTTTAATTAAATCCTTTCAACAATTTGAGAGACATTAATTATTTAGAGGTATCTTGAAATGGAACTCAAGATGCCTCTGAATTTATTTCTAGATATTTCAACATACATTTCAAGAGATATCTTTTTTCACATAAAATACTTTTCAAGAGATTTTTAAATGAACTTTAAGATATCACAGAATGGTTGTTACAATACATGTATCTGTAATACGGGCGGTTCACGATTGTGCACCTCCAGGAGTTTGCAACGCGTTGGCCAATCACAAGCGAAATCTGTCGACCCTATCGATATCCAAACGCGCATTAATTGGGTCAACAGATTTCGCGCATTGCTATTGACCAACGCATTGCAACCTCTAGGTGGTGCACTATTGTGAAACGCCTATATTCCATTTAGCAATATCTTCAATACATTTAACAATGTCGTTGATGAATAGGCCCCTAAATGTCACTTTTATGTTTGGAAGTGTCCCTCACGGCACCAGCTAGCCCACCCCGACTTGTGATTGTAGGTAAACAATATTCACTCATCAGCCCGCATGTCTTACTATCAAGACAACGTACACAACCATTGGCAAATCTCTTTCTTTATTGTTTGTGAAGTTAAAAGGCATAATTTGAATTTTTAAACTTAATCCAATTACTCTGTAACAATCCTAAGGACATATTTTCGTCTAACAGAAATGAAGCTACATGTATATAGGGTGATGTGGATTTTGCTATTATAGGCTTAGCCAGTTCGTCCCATTACCTTTTGGTATATAATAATTTGTAGACGTTTTGTCGGTGAAAAGGGTCAGGCATGACTTCCCAAATCCTAAATCCCAAGTCCTAAAAATACGTCATACATTGTACCTTACACACTGTGTGAAAGTACCGGGTGTTTTCAGATTGCAAATGCCACCAGAAGATGTAAGCGTGGGTGCGTGCTTACGTGCGACCTCAGCAAACATACTTTGTGGACTCAAAAAATTGGATTTCTCGTTCAGTGCAAATCATCTAACGCCAATTTTAAAATGGTGGGCATTATCACTTGGAGACAGATTGGGGTTATTGTACTTACCGATGTGTGATAGACATCAGGCGTTTCAGACCTATTACCCTTGCAAGGCCAAGCACTCATGTCGTCGAATAGGAAATTGACCCGCGTGTTTTGAGAACATTTTATTTGACGTAGGTGAGAAATTGCACTTAACGCTTCAGTGTGATGTGGCAACCTACTTCTGTATAGTGTGTGCATGACTGTTATGTGCTCTGAAACGTGTTCTGGAGCCCGTAATAAATGGTTATAAATACAGATTTGCTCGAATTCTCACCTGATTCTTTTCTGTATACAAGGTAAAAACTGGAGGGTAGAATGTAGAGAATATGACCACTGAAGCTTTTATTTGCGGAATTCCCTTCTTATAAACACAACCGAAAAACCTTATAGTTTCCCGAACCCATCAAAGCTTGCTTTCTACATCGCCCCCCTTGTTGAAACAAGTGTGCCACACAGGGACTAATTTATTTGCCCGAACGTCATCACGGTCAAATGATAAGCATGTTTGGCGACACTTGCAATGCTTATTTTGATAATCAAACTCTGGGAAATTTCGGCCTCATCAAAGATTTGTTCGATAAAAAAACATACGCTTTTTGCTTATATTTAATAAGAATGCATGGTTGGGTGGCAAAAATAGGATAATTGGAGTCATGAAACATTAATAATAGCCCCCATAAAAGACGTCACACATAGCACCATATCAGCTGAGATTTAACGTTAAATGTGTCAAGGTAGTTAACTTGCTGCAGGGTCCATGCGTCGGGTCGGATCAGAGGTCATTGTGATTGTCAGCAAACAGGAATAGCCTACTGCAGGACTATAACAAAGATTTCGAAAAACATACAGTGGGCAAGGTCGATGGGTGGAGGGTTTTGGTTGCAACGCGTGGGGGGGGGGTTGGAAATGTCCAAAACAGACGTTACCACCTGATCCTTTATTTACAAGGATATGGCAGCAGTAGTGCTGGTATATTAAGCCTTAGCAAGCCAGACAAAAAATGGACTTTTATCAAATTTTGTCGAATTACGGGAAGATGCATCGACCTTTTTCGATCGGATATTTTACTACATTAATCCGGAACTGACTGAGCCACGTTCAGTCAGATCTGATCCGATCCGAGGTCGAATTCAGATTCTTTGAGTGTCAATGAAACGCACAACACTTGCAGTGGAAACCAATCAATAACGCTTACGGTCCCTATAATAAAACACCAAAAGTAGGTGTGACCATCATTCCCTTGGCGAAGAAATTGAGTGATGGAATATACCAGCAGTTGTTTGCGTTACCACTATACCAACCCCTATATAAATTGTGACCGAATATTCATGACATGCGATCTGTTTGTTATGGTGCACTATTTACGACACACATTTCTCTCTCTCTCTCTCTTTCCCTAGCTTCCCCCCAGGCGACGCAACTACACGACAGGACGCACGACGCGACACAAGACGCGACGCGTCGTGTGTGTACAAACGTAATGGAAAGAAGGCGACGGTGCAACCCGACGGCACGACGCAAAGGAGCCGTCGTGCCGTCCCGTCGTGTAGTTGCGTCGCCTGGAGTGAGGCTAGAGAGGGAGAGAAATGTGTGTCGTAAATAGTGCACCATAGTTTGTTGACTTGCTCGGCTGACTTTTTAGTTCTCCTCTTTTCCCAACCACCCACTTCACCGACGATTCCCATTTGTTTGCAGGCATGGCAATCGCCCGTTGCATTTTCATAATGACCAGACTGTTGATTATCAAGCTAATTGGAAGAGCGAATCCATCCTGCGTTTTAATCATCGCATAAATAATGTGCCCATAAACTGCATGCAGCTGCAGAGTGGCTTATAGTAAATCCACTTCAGGAAGCTATTTGTTCCAACTAAAGCGTGGATAGCGTGAGCGTGGGCATAATGGTCAATTTGTAATGACTTCTCGTGTCTTTTTCGGGGCCTTTGTTGTGATAGGTTTTTCATTGATGCCCTTAATGAATTTTATTGTTGTCTCTGCTCGCTGAATATTACCGAGTGGGCATTTTATGGTTGCACGCCATTCGAATCATTTGTGAAATGTGCAATGTCTTTCTGTCAAAAATTCAAAATTTTATGAATTCACTTTTGATTATGTCGCCTAAGTACAAAATGTAAATAAATAAACTCATGCAGTCATAACATGAAATTGATAAAATGGCAAAATATACCTGTGAAGATGTACACGTAGCATAACTAAAGTGTTGCTGTACTACCGGTTTACGTTATCGATTTGAAAATTCAAACCAAGAAATTTGACTTCCAATAATGTCAGTGAAAATGACGAAAATGGCAAATGAGTTTTGACAGGTTGCTCGGGAATGAGGCACTATAGATATATATATATATACTGGTTTGCCTTTCGCTTTTAGATTATTACGGTGCGAAACCACATTGGAACCATATTGATACTTTTATAAGAGCACGTGACCGTCCAAGTGGCGTCGTTAATTGCTGAAATAAATCTAAGAGACGTGGGTTGTCATAGAAACGTATGTTATAAGTAAATCCTGTTTTGAACGTCACTGAATCCTGTTTGCAGAGGTACGCTATCAATGATGCGTATCTTTCTGAAAACTCGTCGTTGTATTGTATGTCTCGGTGATAAGCTACATGTATTGAATGCTGTATTTCGGTGCAACTGTTTCATCGTGTAAACTTGTGTTATCAGACGCACATTTCAGTGTTTCCGAAGTAAATCATCTTTGTAACACGGTAACTTGAGTGGTAATACATTTCAATAGGTATCATCTAAATGATCGTGTACACACTGTAAAAACAACTCAGTTTAAACACATTTGTAAACACATTTTTGTACCCACTTTTTGACATGTTTAACCGCGACATGTTTAGTGTTATGCATGTAGGAATGTGTTGAAATGAATTTAAAAAAGTTAAACATGTACTACAGAAAAGCGTTTCACATTCCTAAACATATTTTGATAAACATGTCATGGAAAAAGTGGGTACCAAAAAGTGGTTCAACTCTAAACGTTGTTTTTACATTGTTACAATAATCTTGTAATGATGTACACTGTGAAACAATGTATTAGACATTATGCAAAATACTCTAATAAGGAGACGTGGTTCTCCTTAAAGATGTTCTGATATCAAAATAATTGTTGTCCCAGAGAGTTTGCAAATGGTTATATTTTATCTGTCCTCGGCTTATCAGACTTTGCTCCTCTTACTAAATGTATTCATATCGACATTGCTATTTAGATTGTACCCTTCTTTTATATTAGATTTTTTTCCCAATTTATACTTATGAATTCTTTATAGGAATGAATGAATTTCACTCATTAGTATCCACATTCATTCCTATAAAGAATTCATGTTCATTATTATCTAGTTTCTATTCCCATTACTGTGCATAATATACATCCAGTACTTTTCAGATTCTGTCCTGTCCTTGTATTTTGTTCTAATGACAGGGTCCTTGCCTCTCAGCGATGGAGATGAGGAAGCTGAGGCTGGGAACGAGGTAAGCCCCTTTTACCGAAAGCTTGACTTCAAATACTGAAACCTTTGACTTTGCTATCCGGCTTTCATATTTTAAGCAGTTGTTTTCTTATAGAAGCGACGCCCAGGATCAAGAATCTCTTGTCCTCAGTTTGGTCAGTGGGACTGGGGTGCCCTACGTACAAATAGAAATAAACAAACAAGCAAACTTACAGACAATCAAAGAATTTGAAAAATCGCATTAACTTAGCTTTGCTGATAACTGCATACGCGCGGATAAATTATATTAACTTGCCCACTAGTCTTGGTGCATGTTTTGGAGGTGAAATCACCTACCGCTGAGTGTATGTACTCCGTAGGTGTTGACGTTGTGTTGTCTTGATTAGCCTTCTACCCTCCTAAGGTTTTTCTTGCCACGTCTCAGCAAAGACTCGGAGACTTTTTAAATGAATACAGGATCCCCGGGGGATCCCCCATCGACTCAACCCCAAGAAACAAAAACGCAAATTTAAACGTCTGCTCGCCCGAGCCTGCATCAGCATCGCTTGTGGTGGTAGGCGCAGTAATTAATGACGCACAACCCACCGTGATCTGGAGCGGATGATCAGCGCACAATGGCCTGGTCTGTTGCCTCTCAAAGGGAGTTTCCGTCTCAGAACCATATCTGGCGAGATATATTGTTGATTTGCAGCCACGATAATTACCCCCTTTAATCCTAGTAAAAATGTAACAAAGCATGACGTCAGTAAATATGCATTATGTTGGGCAGCCGTGGACGATCTTATTTATTGTGGACGGAAAGTCCTATTGAAATTGCCTTTAGACGGTGGGTGCTGCTGGTCCTTGGTCGATTTAGTACTTAATTGGTATCAGCATCAGTGCAGTATAATCATGGAGTTAGGAAACCTGTCGTCTGAAAAGTGAGCATATTGTGGGTGAAATTATGTTTGAGTCCTGAAGATAATTGAGCTTGGTACGAGGAGCTTGCCCTCGTTGTTCCCTCCTTAATTCCGCAACATTCGTCTTCAAAAAAGGGGGACACGAATTGCATTATGGGGATACATGTACCAGATAAACTCAAATCAAAAAGGCTTCATAAAACCTTCCAATGGTAGGGGTATAATACGGAATAACCAAGTGCGGTAGGCTTACCGTACAGGGGGATCTTACACTGCTATCCTGCATCAGGAATTAATTTGACTCCGGTATAGCTTATGGGCTCTCTGACCACTTTGGCATCTATCGCCTCATCTCCTTTATACAAAGGGAGAGTATGTTTCGCGGACTGCATGCTGACTATATGTTTTGGCTTTCACCTGGGCTGAAGGACTGAAGGATATTCATGCTTATGCGAGCGCAAAAGGGATATAACATTGGCAATATGTATGAGCACTGGCCCAATTTAACCAATTGTGCTGTCCCTGTTCGGCATGCATACATACATGATTGACTATGAGTATACTCGAAAGTTAATGCTTCAAATATGCTTCAGCCAGACGATGAAGAACGACGTAAAGATCAGTCCTATATCGAAACTAGCCAGCAATAATATGAAACTTGCTTCAGGTTTAATATACCATTGGACGACGACATCATTTGGTCAGAGGTGCTGTGGACGGGTCACAGAGTTGATGTCGGTGATATCACAGCGCGATTTTATTGACGCCATCTTTGGCGCTTGCCCTCGAACTCCAGACTTGTATGTCCAAACACAGGAGGACTTCCCGGAAGCGAGTTTTTTTACACAACACGCTGGGGAACTCGAGGGAAGTCAAGTCCGTCATTTCAACAGGGAAAGCTTCCAAGAGGCAAGAAGACTAGTCTCTTTTCGAGACTGGCAATAAAACCATTTTGCTTATTGGAAAGTACATGGTGTATTCCCAGACCACTGTGTAAAAAAGCACTCTTCTCCTAGGGAGCTCATCGAGCACCCGAGCACCCGTTGCGCATCACACCATCGACGATTGATTCCCCCACTCCCTATCCCCCCCCCCACCATGTAGCGCGGCACCTTTATAATGCTGTCGTCCCATCCGCTGCGTTTCAGCTATTGGTCTCTTCCCTGATGCCCGTTGAACTGCTGAGCAAAAACAGGTGTTTAATTATATCCTATTGAATTCCAATTTCAGACGACAATTCGATTCTTGTTTCTGTGCTCATTGCACGAGACATTTAAGAAAACAGCACTGCCCTGAACAAGATTTCACAGACCCGACAGCGTACGTGACTTCTGCAGAATAACAAATCTTGAGAATGTAAAGATAACTCGAAATCCTTGCCATGAGAGGAATGATGCGTGTTTGGGAAATGATTAATTGCCTTGAGAAAGATGTGCAAGGAAAAAACCTTGCGCAGTCCTGTTGTCCTTTGGTGGGAGATGTGATTTGGATCGTCTTGGCATTGTATTAAGGATATATGTGAGGTCTCAACCTCGCCTTCGGGTTTTGTGATAGATAACAGGGTTTACATCCTTACAAACAAAACATTTTCCCCACTTTGGTTAATAAAAGTTAGGCTAACCTTTGCGGACACATTACAGATATCAATCCGCAGCGCTTAATCAGATTGCATAAGCGCGGCTGTGCGTGCCGTTGATGGTACAATGAATTCAATGTGAACTAGGTACGGACTCATTACAACCCTACTGCGCATGACTGTGACAACTGGAAAGGATGATACAAAAGGCCAGATTTTATGGGCGTCCACATTTCATGCAACCTCACGCTCATCGCCATCAAGATTATACATAATGTAATAAGAAACTACGTGAAGGTACGAAAGCCCTGTTGAGCCATCAAGTACATGTTTAAAAAAAATGAAGTATATTTTTCAAAACATATTTCTTCTAATTTCGTTTTTACAACAAATATTTTTTCCCAAGTTTGTTTGTTTGGGACATATATTTATCCAGTTGGTTCTTATGAGATCTGTATTCGGAACTATTATTTCTATTTTTGGAAGCAAATCTCCCTTTCAAGGTCGTTTTTTGAGTTGCATTTTTTCATTTTGTGTTTGTGATCTCTTGCAAAAGAGCTAAAAAATATATGTCATAAAACAAACTTGATCAAAATATATATCTCGTAAAAACGATTTGCTCCAAAAATACACACTATATTTCTAAAAATAGATCCCATGAGAATGAACTGGAGAAAACATATATTGTACAAAGGAACTTGAAAAAATATTTCTTGTAAAAACTAAGTTGAAAAAATATACTTCACAAAAACAAACAATGACCGGCTGAAACGATACAAACAGCGAAACAAGTTCAGCTTCCGGTGGACGTGCATGGTCGGGGAGGTATAATTGTAATCCTTATGGCGTGACTTGGTGTGCTTATTTAGTCGTGGAGTTTTCTACATTTGAACATATGAGGACATTAACTTATTCCCACAGGTGGTTGAATGTCCCGTAGGTTGAAAACTTTCGACCAGTACAGTCAAACGGCCACCGAACGATGAACATTAATATCCTTACGTGAGTAAGCCCTGTAAGGAATTTGAAACAATAGCTCCAAAAATGCATTTGCTTATGCGGTACTCTCAAACCTTTCTCTCACATTTATTTTTAAAAGAAAAAAGAGTTGGTTCCTTTTTATGGAGGGGGGAAATGGACCTCGATGCCCCTCCCCTTGGATTTGCTCTTGGGCTATCGACAAGAACATTGGGGTCGGGACTCACTAGCTTATACTCATGCAGTGGCTTTAAAGAAGTTTAACATCTTATCTGTACAAACTTGCTATTGCTATTTCTTTCTCAAATTAGTTTGGTCCTTAACGTGGGTGGTAGGAGTTATTACTCTGTTTACTGGGCGGTGTAAATTCAAATTATTTCTGCCGAACCAAAACCATTCAAGAGACCCATTCACATAAACCGACAGGATATTAGTCAATCGATAAATTACGTAGTGGCGGCACGTCCGGCTCTTTCGCTGCCTAGCGACGGATGTTGGAATAGATCGAAGACAGCCGTAGCTCATGACAATTACCATTATTGCCGAGGACATTCTGCATTTTTCATAACTTTGATGCATTGAGAATATGCATCATCTCCACTTTATGGATTCCTTGGACCGAGACGGTCAGACAGAAAAGCCATTTGTTATCTCCGACTGACGCGATACATTGTGCATTTTGCGACTGTTTAGCAGTTTCCTTGTATGCAATATAGAACCGATACATCTTCTTTGAAGGACCATCGTGCTCAATGTACGAACCAAAGGCACCCATCTTGGATTTAATGCCCACGAGCATCATACACTTTAATTAGCAAAGAGAGCAAGTAGCCTATATCAGTATATACAACGTTTCTTGCTTGGAGCAACATGTGCAACGATCCCTGGCTGTAGATTATTTTAACAAGAACTCGATCAGACAACGCCAACGGCGTGTCAGGATTATTTACCGAATTATGACTGGCCTCAGATATACTTTTGCCATCAGTAAGCCATGCTCACGCAGAAAAGACTTTTCCGATCTTCAACCTAGTCTTGATCTTCAACCTAGTTTTGAAATCTGTAATTGCAAATGAAATGGTTTGGCGTGAAAATAGCTTGTATTTCACCCTTTTTATGCCTCCGAAACAACACAATTCATTAAGTAACAGTGATACGCGTAAGGGCCTGTAGAAATCTTATTTCAAGCTAATAATAATACTGTTCGTCGGATGTGTTTAGATTACAGTCTCATCATCGTAATGAAACTGATAATTACAGGAAAAATATTTTAAGATTGGGCACTGCCCTCATAGAAATTGTTGCCACTTACAGGTGTTCACTGCGCAGCCGAAACCATTAACAACAAATAAATCTAATTTAGACTACGCAAAAACGATCTATCCCAAACCATGCTGGCGAACCTAACTAGTGAAAAGCGACTGTTCTCCAACGAGGTCTTTTTGAAAAGCCGCGTCTGTTGTAGCTTGGACGCCGCGACAAAGCGCGCAGGCTGAAGTGTCCACAGCACAGCCCTGGCTATGGTACAGAGTTCAAGAAGACGGACTCATCAATCTAATCAGAGGTCAATGCAACGCTGGTTTGAAGCCAACCATTGGCGTTCTTTGTGTTCGGGAGAAAGGCAGAGTATACTCGCCATGAGTAGCTATATATATTCGGTTGTCCTTGCAATTAGTTCATTTCCACTCAGGTGGTAATCAAGGCCGTACCTGTATCAGAATAATACAATCATTTTGCATGCAAGGGTAGTGTCGTTTAACAAAAAAATGATTTCGCTTTACGAACAATTCTACTTTATGGGAGGACTTAAATTGGACATCTGAAAGGTATTAAACTGCGGCTTATGTTTCTACATTTCAAGATATGAAACGTCTGCTTGCCCGCTTTTGAAACGCAGAGGTGCCCGAACAAAGTGACCACTTCTCCCTTTTAGAGAATCATAATAGGTGATCGAATGTTTTCGATAGGAATTAACTTCTCATCAGTGGTTCTCCAGTAAATTAATTTAAGTCTGATCGGAGCAACGCAGAGGCAGAGCCGGGTTTGAGTCGAGCGGGTAACTGCACGTCAGGAGGCATAGTGTTGGTGTGTCCGTATAATTTCTCATACCTATGTCCTGCCCCGTCAGTGCAAGTACCGGTTCGCCACAGGAGAAACAAAACAGAGAAAGTACACTTTTGGCGTGGGTTGGTCATGTTGAAACTGGAACCGAGGTTAACTCTTCAGTTTTGAAAGTTAAAAGTAGAAATAAAAGCAGTAAAATGAAATTTCATGACAAATTAGTACTTGTCTACTCTGCTGAATAATTGCAGATTTGCAATTAAACATAATTATACACAAAAAATGTACCCTTTTTTAATCGAGATTTGGAAATGTATTGTAAGGGAGGCTGGGCACGCATGCCAATCATAAAACAGTCTGGTGCCATCCTGATCGACAGTTCACAGTATATAAAACAGATTCAGGGAATAAGATAAAAAATGACTTCCCTGTGAATAAGGTCTATACAGTGGCAGCAAAGCTCTTTTCAGGTTAAGAGTCCCCCGGCAACACCTTTGAGTGGATTGTTTAAATTTCAGGCTTTATGTACCTGCCGTTCGTCCCCCTGGCAAGGATCAAACCCAGAACATATCAGAGACATGTTGAACAGCATGACTTAATTTGCCATCCCTGGGGTATTTCTCCAGGTTCCAAAGATGACGAAGTATGACTGCGTGTTGCTCATCTTCAAAGATCCCTTTGAGCTCCCCGACTGTGTGAACGAGGTAGGTTGATTTTTTAAACCAAATTTTAGGGAAATATAGGGCCTATTCAACCAATAAGCTTTGACTGCGACATACTCCAATTAACTAAATTAAACTTGACCAATTACCTAGTCATAACCAATTGAAAGCGTTGAACACGGTGAGCTGATTCAGTCATATCTGGGGCGCTGAGAAGGGCTGATGGCCGGACAAAGATTTTCGTGAAGGAAAACGTCACACGTAGACTTGACTCAAGTCGGGATCTCTGTGACGTCTTCGTTTCTGCTGTGGATACACATCGAGACCGCTGTTACTTGCTTCGCGCCCTCTTGTGTCCACTTATTACTATGAGTTCAGTTCGAAATAGTCTGGTTCCCTGCCCAAATATTCCCTGACCACCCTTGATAAAGAATCTTAGGTCAGGCATCACCCACGAATATAAATAGATATGACGCAAGGTTCAGAGGTCACAAGTTGAAACCCGGATGTTTTCGATTTCATTCCCTTACGTGGTGAGTTCAAATTCAACTGAGTGTTCCCTAATGAGGCGCACTTGAAAAAATCACAGAAAATTCAAAATCATGCAAAAGCATTCGTTGATTCGTTGATTGATTCGTTGGATAGCCAGAATCATATCGGGTCTGGTATCCAGACTAAGTTCAGAAATCCCGACTTGAATCTGCCAACCGTTTGTACACAGCGAATGGACTCATCTACCAAAAGTGGTATCATCCAATCACATTGCAGGACTTGTTTTTACGTCGTTCAAACCTGCACTATAATGAACGAGTTTACAAGTCTGACTACTTTGATTGGTGGAAATTCCGTATAAATTAGGCAAGATCATGTCGTCCATTTACAATTATGAATAACTACATATCACCGACAGAGGGTCCGATTGGCATATCCGTCAAGTCGGACTTACTGACTGGGGACGTATGACACAAGTTGTACAATAAAGGCTATCAAATGAGGGCGCATAAGGGTTATGCGAGCTGCCAGGCCGAGCCCAACGACCGTAGTTCATACTGGCTGAAAGGATAGCTGACTAGGGAAGAACAACGTAAGTCCGACTTGAGTCAAGTCTACGTCACACGGGGTCACGGCTAGCGACATGGAGAGCATTATGGGTAAATTTGTGCTACGCAGCGAGCTCGCTCAATGCGTTATAAAAGCGGTGGTTATCAGTTCGATATTTTTTTCTTTTTCTTCCTCATTGCAGAAAATATTTTCACTACACTTTATTGGTTCATACAAAATTGATTACGATAACCAATGATTTAAAATATGTCACCAAAAGACACGTGATCAAAGATACTTAGAAGATAAATCACCACGTACACTGTGATTGCACCAAGGCCATGTAACGGTATTTATACTACAGCTGGCACTTTGCTCGTGTCAAAGCATTGCCATTGGCTAATAAAAAAAATTAGAATAACACTTCGCATACTAAAAAGGATAACCTCGCGGTCACAGGTCGTGCACAATCAAATATCGTATAGCGCCGAAGGTGCAAGATGCATAACTTTGCCCATGGTGTAATCATGGTGGGCGCCATTTAAGCAAGCAGTAATGCACAGGCGCCACGGAAATATATTAAAAAAAACCTAGACTTGCAACGCCATTGTATGAAAAAGAAGCCAACCAGCAGCCATTTTACCTAGCCGAATACAAAGCGTGGGTTGGCTCCCTTCTGTTGACGTCAGGAAGGCGGGCATTGCGGGCAAGGCGGGCATTGCCAGGAAAGCTTTGTAGTCGGCTCGTTAAAATGATCGCGAGTGGATTCAATGACTCTATAAGCTAATGAAGGGCATTGCGAGTCCAGATTTTATTATACACGTCCGTGACAGGCGCTAGGCGCCCAGGTAGCGCCTGCGCCTGCGCTCTAATGTGCATTGCGCAGGCGTATCGCTTGCTAAAATGGCGCCTATGCAATTATAACGTTTTACGTGTATTCACGGTGAAGTTCTCCATCTTGCGCCGCTACGCGGCGCTGTACAATCTTTGGGCAGAATGTAGCCAATATTAATCGCAGTGCATCAGCGCATCCCAGTGTCCAGTTCGCGCGCGCGCGCAGGAAGACAACCCTTTCACTAATTAGAAACTAATAGCAAACATGCTTTAATGGGATTTTCTGAAGAAAAACTGAACAAAGTCAGAAAAAAGACAAACAGTAGATGGCGCTACGCAATAATGGTTCTTACTGCATGTTTGGGTTCTAAAACCGGACCATCGATGGGGCCATCGCAAGTTTGCCACAAGATTACTCATAATTGAGTGAAGTGAAGGGCCATTCAGAACGAACTACATGATCGTACTGTTACTGTCCGTTTCTTGGCCTGTTACTTGTTGCTTGAGTGACAATGTTTTCCTGAATAGGCACAGTTCTCTTACAAGTCAACGGGAAAACTAATAAATTCGTATACTATTATCTTCTGTACAGTTCTTCAAAGAGCCAAGCTCACTCACAATGATATCGGAACTCCGGCAGGAACTGATGCAGAGTGATTCACATGAAGAAGGTAATCAACATGGAATGAATGGAGCGTTTCTCTAGAGGCTGTATAAGTAGGCGTTGCATGTTTTATATTGACATGCAGTGGGTGCATTTGATGTACCAGTTTATTACGGGGGGTTTCAAACAAGCAAATTAAAAATGAAAGAACTCGCAAACACTAAAGAGTTTACCTCATTATATTCGTCTCATAAGCTGGTACCCAATTGTACTTGGAGGGAGGATAATTGCTATCAATTTGAGTTGTCGTACGTTTGTTTTATATAGGCCCTACATGTTTTTGTCTTTTGGGCTGCGCTTTCTGTTTTGTTATTGTTTGGTTGTGTTTGTTGATTTTATTTAATGATAGGTGTGTTTAACATCGAATTTTATCCTTTTTTTGCCATCGTCACAAATGAAAAATACTGCACAGACCTGTAATTTCATGTTAATCCGTTAGATTATTGCAGAGCCAAAAGTGACGCACAAAATCCAACAGTTGCGTTTGGTATAACCAATAAACCTACATACATCAACTAATCCATTCATGAAAAGTGTGTATATAGTTTGCATCTTACACAAATTCAAATGGCAACAGTTTTTTTCTGATTTCTTTCTTAATATGAAATCCCGTTGAAAAATCGAATCGTTAACACGTCTATGAAAACTTAAAAGCAATTTCAGTGCAAATTGAATTGTGCCATTTTTTTGATAGGAAAAAACAAAAAAGAAAATTTTTAGACAACTCCCCTCCCCCCCCAAAAAACAAAATAAAAATAAATAAAACAACTAGGACATTTTCACTTTCGGGAATATGAAGTTAGATAAGAAGGAAAAAGGCTGCAAACGTGCGCCCTGATCATCAGGTGCACCTGGTGATCAGGGCGTACGTTTGCGGCAGTAACAAGGCAGTAACTGGTGGTAATGCGCCACCCTCATCAAATCCGCAGAAGGCCTCCTGTTGACATATCAGCCCAAAAGTGGAAAAAGTACCTCTGGGAAAATATTTCCCTTTTCGATCTAAAAATGAAAGATGCACCGGCGTGTCGCTACGTTTGCTCAGGGTATGCAGACCTACGGAAGTGTATTGTTCCCAAGGTAAACACATGTTTTAAAGAGACTTAATTTGTTGTGATAAATAATACGCTTCAATAAACATGATTCGAGGTAGAATTATAATTATATGCAGTCTCTAAACAGCGGTTGTTGACTCCCCCCCCCAAAAAAGAAAAGATTGTCCGCACCATGCACATTAAGTAACCACAAACACGGGTGCTGGTGACATATTACCACAGTTATAATAACATTTAGAGATCGTAAAAACTCTCCTCGGTGTATTGTGGTTTCTTAATGTCGAATATTGCAATACGTGGGAGACAAATTTTGAGACATTTGTATTGACTTTATAGCCACATCGTGTGTAATACCCCCCGTCCTTTCTTTAATTTCAAGAGTGCACAATTCAGAACAGTCGATTGCAGTGCTGCGTATAGATCTGGCTGCCATGCATTTCATCTCGTATCAAATTTTAGGGAGATGCTGTTATTAATTTGCAGGTACTGTGAAGGTGCTAGCAGACGAGCAGCAATTTTAATCATCGTATTGCATTCTGAAATCTTGCTTATGACTGTTCTGTGCCTTCTTGATCACCTTGGCTGGAGTGTCTTCTCCTCACGCGATAAAGCATGTGCTGCCTATCCGCTCCGAGCGGAACCAAAGAGGGCGTGTTTTTTTTGTTTTGTTTTGTTTTGTTTTGTTTTTTACTCACCGCATAGGCGCGCAAGTATTTGACGCGGAGCACGCTGAGTACGCGTATGGTCTTTGCGTACACGCAGAACGCGTGCACGAAACCACTTGTAACCACCTTTCTTTCTTTTCGCCGATTGGGGGTGCACTTCAGCTCGGGGCGGATAAAGCAGTAATATTCTAACAAAAAACAGTACCTACAGACCAGTGCACTACAAACCTGTAATAAGGGTTTTTCCTAACCTTAGTCTCCGGTCCAGCTTCCCCCAACTTTGGCGTTTTGGCTCAATAAAAAGTCACGTTTTGCTCGGAAGCATAGAACTATTAAAACAAAGCTCGAATATACGAAAGCCTGTAATGCCATCGAGGATATAGTTTCAAAAAGCAAAGTATATTTCTTCGGACTCCGTTTCCAGGAGATTTATTTTTTTTCTTAATTCGTTTGTACGAGGTTTACTACTTCCAAAGTTTGTTTGTTCGAGACATACATTCGCCAGTTCGTTCTTATGAGATCTACATTTAAAAGCATTGTTTCTATTTTTGGAAACAATTAGTTTTCGTGAGATATATTTTCAGATTTGAAAAAGTTTGTTTTTTAAAAAGAGATATTTTCATGAGACTTTTTAAAAGTTAATTTCCAGGAGATATACATTGTCAGGTTTGGATTTATTGATTATGAAAACCCAAAAAAAGCCAATCGTGCCACAGGCAAAAAACATCTTTACTCAACTAATTTGTTATTACGAATTAATAATTCGTCATAACGAAATATCAATTCATTATTACAAATTATGAATTCGAAATAACGAGCTACATGTAGTAATTCATGATAAAAAATTAATCACAAATTAGTAATTAATAATTTGTCATAACAAATTAGTAATTAACTAATTTGTCATAACGCATTAGTAATTTGTAATAACAAGTTAGTTGACCACATATTTTTTTGTCTGTGGCACGACCAGGCTTTTGTAAATTCTCACAAATACGAATTCAAAAAAATATAACTCATAAAAAACGAAATTCAAAAAAATCTGTTGAAAACAAACTTGGAAAAGTATATCTTCTAAAAAACAATTTGTTTCCAAAAATAGAAACAACTTTCTATTCATAGATCTTACAGGAACAGACTGGCGAATATATATCTCGAACAAATGAACTTGGGAAAAATATATCTTGTGAAAACAATTTGTTTCCAAAAATAGAAAGGAACTGGAGAATATATATGCCGAACAAACGAACATGGGAAATATTATATCTCATAAAATCGAACTTGGAAAAAATGTACTTCACATTTTGAAAATACTTGACGGCACTCCAGGGCTTTCATACGAATATGGTAGGACTACAAACGGTTTTCAATGTGCGGACATGAATATTGAGACTGAAAAAGAAGGTGAGAATTTTGGGTGGCCTCCCCGGTGAAGATTGCAAAGGCTTTAGCAGAGACATAAAAAGTGACAAAAGTTATTTAAAAAATATAGGGTTGCACTGCACCAAATACGCGCCCATAGAATCTGTGCAAAATCGGACCGGAATAGCGCCGCCTTTTGACTCTCGGGAAGAGGTTGGCCTCCGGTTTCTCACTGTAAATTCAAAATTATGGCCAGAAGTTCACTTTTCGTTTCAATTTTATCGGGGTATAGCCACGCGATTTATTTTTATTCGCCTTTCCCCCAAATAGAAGTAAAACCACTCTGAATGTAGCCGTCCGCCTCTATCCAAAATAGGCCCACGGGTTGGGGCTTTTTGTGAAAGGATTACCCCGATTTGGAAACTATCAGTCCCAAATTCGTGGTTTATAGAAATATCCCTATGATTACTCCTGATCATGGAATGTCTTATTGTAAGAACCCTGCGGGATCACAAAATATTAATGAGCTGGCGCGCAGAACTCCAACGATCAGGTGGAATGCACCCTTAGGTTTCTAGGCCATTGGTAATGGATTACGCATACGTACTGCACAATTGTCCGTGACCATTCCTGGATATCGCGCCGTCGGGAGACCACCAGCCTCCTGTGCTATGTCAGCAATGTGCGCTTGGCCCGCACCCTGTGCGTCAAGCAAGAGCGAAATGCCAGCCTATTGCGGGAGATGATACCATGTCGCATGAGGCTATCTTGACATAAAGTTGCAAAACGTAGGATGGCATTTTAATTCAAATCAAGGGATTCGATTATGTGAACGATTTGTGAAACTTTGAAGTTTGCATTTTCTCATGTAACATAAAAAAAAGATTTGAACCTCACTATGCGATTGGATAGGAAAGCAATGTCTGTCGATCGTATGCTGCAGTTCGAGTGGGCGGTAGCCATGTTTAATAGCAAATAGAGGCATTAATTCTCAATTCTTATTTACTCATTGTTTTAGCCACCGGTGTCTATATAATACAGACATGATGCACTAACAACTCCCAACATTCATTCCACGACATTAGACCTCTTGACAGTTTCTGTATTCACTCACGAATTCAGAGACGTTTGTTGCTGATCAACGGAATATTTTGGAATCCGTTCAAGTCAGTGACCTTCTGGAAGAGGTCGCGCGAGTGTCCCGCCGCGGTATCACGGTAACAGAGCGATTATCCGCGTCATCTGAACCGTCAATCCTGTTGTCGCTGGAGTGTCGTAAGTAAGGAAGGTGATGTGAATAAGCATCATTTGTGAAAGAAAGGTTTTTTTCCATATGCTGATTGGCTGAGACACTTGAAAGACTGGTCGGCATGGTTTGTTTTGGTGGAGTGGTAAAGATTGCCCTGGTCTCTTGGGTGGCGGCATGTTTTGTTGCTGTTACAGGTAAGCTTATGTGGAAATGATAGCCTGACAAAAGCGACTGGTGCAGTTATCAGACAGTTCACTCTCCAAGCGCGGCAATCTTGTTTTCTCTGCCTCCTGAGCATGGAACCAAACTATGCAGGGGATGGTTGATCGTAGTTTAATGGGGTTGACCGACTACTACAATTGAAAGTTGTGATAGCCTTTTATATCTCGATAAGACGTGAACCTCTTAACATTTCATTCAATGCTTTGATAAGAAATAGCATGATGGCGTAATGGGGTATTTTTGGGGGGGCTCTTGGGGCCCTCACTCAATGGCTTTGGTCACATAACACTGACTGCTGCGAGCTATCACCTGATTTTTCACTTTCTCTAATTTCTGAGCAAGTGGGGTGCATAGGAGGGCACAGGCCTGGGGTGGGGGAGAAGGAGTTCTCCCAAGCCCCCTAGTTAAGCCACTGCAAATGCCTGCAGCCTATCTCTTCAACTCCACGCGCAAAGTCAGCTTTTTGCTTGCCCGTTAAAAATATAGTGTCTGGTTTCAGTTCAGTTATACATAATGAGGCTATGAAGACACTTAAAGGGAAATTTGCCTGTTCGGTAATGTTTTGTTATACATTATTCATTGCTTTTCAACATCTTTTTCACCATCCGGTTTTGTATTTATGATCTATATCTTCACGATCTACTTGATTTTATAATCCATTATTTTTTTGTTAAATGTAATGAGCAAAGGTTTCCTCTTTACAAAAGCAATGCCCAGGAAATTATTATTTTCTAAGAAACTTCCTGCTTGCACACTGCTTTTGTGTGATATGGGCAGGATCGATTTAACTAGCTTAGAGAGTTAATGTTGGGTTCATCTTTAACGAACAATTAAACTAACTTTCACGATATTCAGTCCGTAAATGCATCATGTGAGTTCTTCGAACAGGCAATGCATTGGAAACTGCTTGAACTGGACTTGTTTCCAATAGACCCGTGTATAAATAACAAAGGTCAGGTTTACGGATGAAATTGTAATGAACTGCCGTTGAAAACTGAAGACAATTGATGAATGTCCTCTACAGAGAACAGGCAAAGAGAGTCAAAGGTACGAGGAGACTGGTAATGAATTTGGGCATATGACTTTGAGAGGTGATATCCCCTGGGGGCGTGTTTGCGTTGGTTTGGGTTTGCTCTCGCTACCATGCACACAAATGGCTCCGACGTCATCGCTGCTCGATTGAAAACCGGGACTATAGCCTCGCTGAGACGTGCAGGATTGCGATCGCTCGTTCATTCATTTATCGCGCTAAATTAACTCATCAAAGTTGGACACATATTCAGGAAGTGGAGCAGTGCTTCATTTCCATTCTATTTGCTTCACTGCACATCCAAGCTCCATCCCCACGAGCAATTTCATTGCAGACAGAAATGTTAAAGGGCGGGGAAACCACGATAAGTGTGTTATGTGGGGATTATTTTAAACGCTGAAGCTGCGGTGAAGTGTCATAAAGAGGAAAAAATTGAAGAATTTATCAGAAGAGGCTTCTAGCACGTTGCCAAGATTAGTTGGAGGGGACATACCTCCCTCGATTGAGTTACAGGCCACTTACTGTTTAATAAGTGACTTCGCACCACTGTTCGATCCTGTTTTAGCTGTACTTCTGTACTCCAACATCTGGCAGTGTTTGTCTGCATAGTTCTGTTTGTTGTGTGTGTAAATTAGTGAACTGTTTGGCAGTTCTGTCTCTTACATCGTTAGGGATTTGAAGGGAAGGCCAAGGAAAAATCGAATCAAAGCATTTTTACATATATCACAGTTCCTATTTTGCCAGTGAAAATAAGCCCTTCTGGTGGCCAATTTTCAACGCTGGTCACTACGCCAGAAATCCCAAAACCAAACACATAATGAAATATTGCTGGTGATCATACAATCGCTTTAGCTCCAGTCTGGTTTTTCGTTTTCTTCTATTTCTAATATGTAGAGGTTGTTTTTTTGTTTAATTGTTTGGTTTCGATCAATGGCTTATTAGGAGTTTGCGGATAACAAAAATTTGGTTACCAAATCAGGGATTAAGCATGTATAGAACTAACACCCCAAAAATCACAGAATCGCTGCAGTGCAAGAAAGACTGCACCATAAAGTAAGGCATTGTCATTATGGCTCTTTTAAAATTGTGACGCTTAAAATAAAGTAGAACAAATTATAAACAGAAGCTGGTTTCAAATTTAGCGCCAAATAGACTTATCCACAAATTTGCCCACAAATATTTTGCCCACGCTGATGAGCAATGTAAAATTAAGGGAATAAAATGCTTCGCCAGTCTTAAACTTGCCTTTAACACCGGCTTGGGAGGATGGACGCGACTTTTTAGTCAGAGATCGAGAGTCAAAAGAAGTCAATATATGATGGATCTCCAGCGATTTTGTTCTGGGATTTTACTTTCATTTTCCCGAACATCCCGTCCATTTCATGGAATATTCCTTGAGCAAATTGCCCAAACCGGTTCGTAAGTTCGTAAGTGACTTCGTCACTACACGCGGATTCGTCAAGATTTGTAGGTTTCCATTGGATGATCGCAGAAATTGCGCGTTAACTTCCGGTGCCATGGCTCCATGCAAATGGTAATGAACGAAACTCATTGTGCAGTGAATGTGCGGTGCGCGTGGTTTAAACTGATGTGACGTCACGCTTACCAACCAGTGGCGATCCGCGTGCCGACCAGAATAGGCTGACCTGTCTTTAAGGTGGTGTACACCATTGGGTTTTTTTGGTCATATTTTTACAAGATTGGCTGATTATGGTGTGTAATATTCACTGCAACTTAAATTCCACTCACTTGTTTCATGATTGAGTCAACTTCTTTGTGAAAAAACGAGAAAAATAGCGCGGCATTTTCAAAGCTTAAATTGAAGGTCTAGTAGTTATCTTACGTAAAATCTATGGAATCTAGGGCGTTCGTAGTACAAGCGAACATTGTCCACGGGGTCAGGGTGGGAAAGAAGCATGACAGGTTCTCATTCCCTTAATAAAAGAACATTTTTTTTTAGTAATGCGCCTCCTCGACAATGTAACATTGCGGATTCGTGTGGAAAACTTCATCCAGGTACACAGCAATCGACTCGTGTCCGTAACATAGGCGGGCCCATATGATTATGCACGTGCGCGCACGATCGTGTTTATAACGGTACTTTCATGTAAGTTCTCACGTCGATGAAAGTCTGAAACTCCATTCATAGTTGAGTCATTAATAATTATCAGCAAAAAAGAATTATGTCTTAAAGCAACGGAGGATTAACGTGTGGAAGTCGTACTTTTTGTTGACGAAAATCATCGTGCTCGGAAATAGCCGCCATATTAGCTCACACCATTATTATCTAGGGGTGATTTGAATTCGCAAAATTTTTCGTAAAAAAAACTTTCCTTAAATAAAATTCAACTTCACACGGATCCAGTTTATTTTCTACTTTACGCCTAACACTCAGGTTTCTATAATTTCAGTTCGCAGTGTTTTTGGTAAAAGAAAATGTCAGTATATTTTTAGCTGCTTTTAGGTTTATCCGTTCATTAATTTAATGGAGACTCCCACAACATCTGCAAACACTACATGTAAGAAATTTGGCGCCTGTTGAGGGATGTGAGGTGCGAAGTGATATTAACTCTATTACGATGGTTGGCCGACCATCGTAATAACAGAGAACAAAATCTTTGTTTTTCTCGAAAACTACAGCATTCTGGGTGGAAATATTTTACAGACTGATTGAGACTGTTGTGTACTGTTTTTCAAATAAGATATTTCAGGATTATGCGGTAGTCCGATTTTCGGGATTTTACCAATGGTGGACACCACCTTTAATCCCCATTCTAAAGTCTTCATGATGGAGATCAATGCTCGTGTCCAGGTGCCAGCGCGTAAGTGATTTACGGAGCCGGCATTATCACTTCCCAGCGGGCATTATCAAATGTTAATACACGGTCTAGTTGCACTTTGTTGAAAAGGGATACAGTAATATAAATTATGATTAAATGCATGCTTTCATCTGCACTAACAAAGCAAATAAAAAGGCAGACACTTTATTCTGGCATCAATCCCGTTTCTTATATTCCAGATTATAGAATATATTCAGGGAACATGATCGAAAATGGTTTCCTTCTTTAACAAAACAAATAAAAAAAGATCTATTAAAGTGCAGTGTCCCATGCGTACTATTTATCAGGATTTCATTTTGATAACGTGGAAATTTCGAGGAGCCTTAAAAGTTGCCAACAAACAGCAAATCTTCTAGAATTCATATTCCACTGATAAGCACAGGTGCTGATATATCGATTTCTTTCAACTACCACGTATTGTTCTTTAATGCATTTTTTAAACGAATTAATAACATGCACAGTCGTCATATGTGTTACTGTAATTATACATCAATATAACTTTACACGTTCTTTTTCTGTTTCAAACAGCAGAGATAGAAAAGGCTGCTGGAGCAAATGAAGAAGGAGACAACGATGTTAACGTCCTCACTAAAAGGGTAAGCATATTAAGCGCGTCAAGAGTTCTCGACAAGCTGAAGTACGTCATTAGTTACTGAATGTCAACATGAAGTATGCCCATTATCACTCAAAGTGTTATCATGATCGATATAACATACTGAGAAAGGTGATTTTCTCCCACGTGAAACTGTTTAGCACATGTCACACAGGTGCATCTTCATCTGGGACTCGTCTGATGTTTGATTTATGTAGTGGTTGTTCCCGAGTGTTTGCAGAAAGGGATCATTAATTATCAATGACTTGAAATTAGAAAAAAAATTATAATGAACTGTAAAATCCCGTCTAAAAAACTAACTAACAAATCACATAACCAAACAATAAAACGAAAACGAAAAGACTTAATCCTTGATTATAGTTTCCACGGGATGTACATGTAGCTTTTTGAGGACATGCTAAGATGTGGCTTGAATTGGTCATTGTGGAGTCTGACGCTGTTACAAGTACCGCCCCCTTCGGGTTCTGCAGGCTAGAATAGAAAACTTGAGTTGTCTGAGTCCAACCATTCGTTGTTTGAAGTTAAATGAATCCAACTGCAGGTGTTTTGTCGTTGTTTTGTTTGTGGATCGCAAATGAAAATGATATGATGTTGTTTCTAGATTATAATTACCCTCCACAAGGGGATAGTGCTGCCGTGTCCCCACCCGTGGTTACGCCACCGATTTCTATCCTGATTTCAGTCGACTCCTGATTCCTACCTATAGGCCTAGAACTTACATTTTAGCCGAAGGCACGAAACGAGTTTATTAAGCTTACGGTGAACACAATGTTTATTGACTGGTCTGCCAGATACGTGCTAGCGACCGGTTTTTAATGCCGGCGACTGGATGGTCCCTTTTATTTCCCAAGCCGGTCCCCTCCCCCTCCTAGATGAAGAGGCAGCAGGTGTCCCGGTGGGGCTCGGTGACATTTCCAGCAGTGTCATCGACATCCAGACAATAGTCCTCAGACGACGGCTGTAGCAAGCCGTGGAAATGAACCTTTTCAAGACTTCGGGAATAATTCCGTGTATAAAAGACTTGGACCATGCTAACCAAAAGCCTCCTCAAAGGATGAGGTACAGAGTCTCGCCTGTTGTACGTTCAGACAATATCCCCCACTGCGTTTTCTATGAGGGGTTCTAAGAAAAATACTCTTTCAACTTCAAAGTACCTATTGAATAGTTAATTCCTAATGGGCTTCCTTTTATAAGTTATACTTGATGAACAAACCACAAATTTCACTTCAAATTATACTAAAAACCAAGGATGACTTCATATTTCAGCATACAAAGTTGAGAATTTGATTTCTCCTGGGGATTATTTCTCTTTCCAACAGGCCTCAAATATAATGCCATTGGTATGATCGGCTACAATTCATTCAACGTCAACAATTTCCATTTTTAATGAACACCGTACATTCGTAATGTAAACAGCATACGGAAAACACTTGATAACACATCTGCATCCAAGCCTCTTCATGCCTTTGTTCTTTTTCGGCTGGATATTTGTAATTCTCTACTGATCAACATTAAATCTTATCAGTTTGACAAACTCCAGCACGCTCTAAATGCAGCTGCTCAAGTCTTATCAAAATCAAATAAATTTGACTACATCTCGCCAGTTCTGCAACATTTAAATTGGTTGTCTTTCCGGGAGCGGGTCGAATTCAAAATTCTCTTGCTAACCTAGAAAATTATTCAAGGATTGAGTTATTTAATTGGCTTCATTACATCCTATGCACCACAACACAACTTGCGCTCGTCACAAAAGAATCTGCTTGACTGCCTATGGAAGTAGGTCCTTTTCATCTAATGCACCAGTGCTGTGGAACAACCTTCCAAATGATCTCAGAAAACTGGACTCTCTTGAAACATTTAAATCAAACTTGAAAACTCTTCTGTTTAAGGGTTCTTATTTTGGTAGTTACATCAAGTTACATCAATCTGACTTCACATTCTTTTCTAGCGCCTCGGATTAGTTTTCCAGACAGATGGCGCTTTGATCTAATGTTTGTTTATTATTTTTATTATTTATTACTAACACCAACCAAGTGACATTCTAAATTTTATTTACAGGCAACAGGCGTGCCACAAAGCCACTATTTCTGGTGTGAAACATGAGAGACCTTTGTAGAAATTCACACCGCACTCATCCTGCCAAACAACATTCACACACAGTAAAAATTCTGGTTTAAACTTAACTTCATTTTTTTCCGATTCTTTCCCTGCACAGTTTTGTTTTGCATATGCACATAAATCAACTCCATTCCCTTATAGTCGACCTGTTTTGTGAGAGAAACAACAGTCCTTTACCAAAATCAAGGCCATTAGAATGTTCCAAAGACTTAACCTGTGCAGGAATGAAGATAATGCCAAGAGGATAATTATAGATTAATGTCATTGTGCTCCCGTAGCTTATTCGAAATGTTGGATAAAGAGTTATATACCTTTTCGAGCTGAATGTAAACACAATTTTTAAAGGTTCTTATCCAACGAGCCCCAATATTATTACAAACTAATCAAGTACCTTATTCAAGAGTGTACCGTAAATAAAAAGGGATTGGATTCAGCTTCATTGATCCAGAACAAATATCTCGTGAATTAAACCTGGAACGTGCGCTTACATTGCAGGTATCACGTGATAAAAGCATGCGCGGGTCTTTCTAAATCAAATCAGCACGTAGGCCACTGCAGTTGAAAGCAAGAGCAGGCACAAACCTGTTAGAAGAAACTGCGCGCTGCATTCTAGTCACGCACTTGTGTTTTCTCCCAAGCGTATTCCAAAGGGTATCAGATTATACCGTCTTAATGATCTTACTCGGGTCAGTTGGTGAAGATTGAGGGCACATCGATCAGTGAATGCCGTCATTAAACAGCAACATGTGATGCAGTTTTCATGATGCGACACGGCCATCACACATCAATATTTCCCTTCCATTCACGCATATCTGTTATAAGTTGCAATTCTGAGATCTCGTATCAGCATCGATATCCGATATATTCAGTTCTGAGGAGTGGAAACAAATCAAATCTAACAAGAGTTTAAAAAAAATAATTTTAATTGAAATGTAAAATCAGTCATAAAAGTGCTCACCAAGCAGTTACGTTGAAAGTGCTAACGTTTTAGAATAAGTATACTACCACCTTTCTTGGGAAGGATGATTTTTTTTACGTTTGGAAAATATGAACAATCACCAATTTTGGGAATATTTGTTCATCGCTGGTGTGAATACTAAAGCAGGTTTTCTTACATATTGTTTCCAAGGTTCACACCCCGTGTTATTGATTTAAAAAGAATTGGATTTCATTGAGAATTATAGACCTAATCATGGACACTTTGCGTTTCACAGGTTGACGAGGTTGCTGACGTTAACGATCAGCTTGGGGAGGATCTGCGCATGCTCTCAAGAAACGCGCAGCCAGTTAAAGTTGAGATCATGGATACCGATGCTGACGTGACAACTGACCAAGACGACAGCGATAATGACGATAGTTATGGTGACAAGAAAGGAGAAGAGGGTGTCCAGGGGGAAGAAGAAGTAGTTGGAGGTAATGAAGACGAAGATGATGAAGATGACGATGATGACGATGACGACGATGACGATGACGATAACGATGATGTGGAGGGGGAACTTCTGAAACAAGGAGATGAGACTGGAAATAAAAGCGGCGACGATGGTTATGAAGAGGAAGACGAAGAGGGCCTTGGCAACGAAGTCATTGATGAAGGGGACGATGACGACGATGCTGAGCAGGAAGTCAACAAAGAGGACAAGGAAGGGGTCGTGGAGCTCAAAGACCAGACAGCCGATGATGACGAAGATGACGACGAAGACGATGACGATGAAGATGCCAACAAAGGTGGCAAAGAGGAAACTGCAGGTGGCGAAATCCAAGATGGCGATGATGATGACGATGACGACAATGATGCGAACGGGGATGAAAAGGAACCCTCAGAGATTGACAAGGAGGAGGCTGAAGAGGAGACAGTGACACTCGTGAGCAAAATCTATAACATGGTGAGTCTAAATAACAAGATCGTCTTCATCATAAAGAAGCATTGTCACACCTCAACTATAGCATATTGTCCGAACTGTAGATCGGACAATGCTAATGTTGGATCGTAACAGCACCACGGACGTCATATTTGAAAGTCTATACTAGCAATTCTCTTGTATCGACTAATCCATCAGCGGCCATCTTACCGTGCCAAATGCAAAGGTGATCGTTGGCTCGCGTCCCGTTGCAACTATTGTTGCTAAAACCGATTTGGTCATTGATAGCAAGCGAGCCTTTGTATTACCTTGTATCTGGCATGTGTATGTTGGCTGAGTAGGGGCGTTGGGAGTCCAGACGTCAGCACCAATGCAAATACCACTAACCTGAGTTGATAACGGCATAAGGGGAAACAGCTGAGAATCACCTTTCAAAAATGAAACCTAGGCTCTGTATTTCCGTTTTACACTAAATGTAGTTAAGCACACTTCATGGTGGCTCTTTATCCTAGTTGTCTGAAACAAGGTTCACCTATGGGCTTAATAGGCAAGTTATTGTGACTATGCACCTTCAAGATATTGCGCGTGCGTCTTACGGACCCAATCGGGCACAAAATTCAAAATGCTTGGCTTGTTAGCTCCTGATTTGAAAACCAAAGGTCTCTTCTCTTATGGTATGTTTTGGACAGTGACTTGTTAAAAGTACACAATGGAGTGGCATAATATGTGTGGGATAAATCTTTTCTTTCACCTCTTGATAACTCAGCTGCAGGCACTTGTTACTCAGGAGAAGATAAATGATGGCGGAGATGATGATGACGATGATGCAGAAGCAGACTCCAACGGTCAAAATGAGCTTGGCACGACAGGTGACGGTGACGATGACGACGACGACGACGACGATAATGATGAGGAGGACGAAGATGGAAAATGGATGAACGGGAGCCAAAAGGTTGAGCAACAGGATGATGGCGTCGACGACGGGGACGAAGATGATGACGACAACGGGGACGACGATGAGGCCGAGAACAAAGAGGAAGACACCAACATCATCACCGAAACCCTGGAAAATGACGCTGATGGGGATGACGATGCTGACGACGATGTTGATGACGACACCGACCCCCAGAATGGAGAAGGCACCGACATTATCACCGAGAAGCTGGAGAATGATGGCGAATATGACGGGGATGATGACGATGACGACGACGACGATGACAATGAGGGGAATGTCATTACTGCAAACAAAGAAATCGCAGATGTCGATGATGATGACGGAGATGACGACAATGATGATGACGATGCTGATAATGAGCAAGATGACGTAAAGGAAGAAGAGGATGTCAAAACCTCAAAAACGGACATGGAACAAGAGCTTGAAGAAATAAGCCGCTTGCAAAACGTCGAGGACGCCGCTGAGGAGACTCCTGACGACGACGACGACGACGATGATGTCGATGGTGACGCGCTGGATCAGCCAGAGAAAACTGAGGGGGAGAAACAAACGGAAACCGATCTGGAAAAAGAACTACTGGAGGCTCTCACCAAGACCAAAAATGGTAAAGTTCCCATTGTTACAATTTCATTTCAGCGTTGACCGTATATCTTGTTGTCGGTATGTAGGAAATAATACAGACCGAATTTTGGTACAGTTCTGCACTACCTGCGAAAACGCTACTCGTACAAACCTTTGAATACAGGAAAATTGGACAGACTTGGAAAAAGATATCCTTAGTCTCAGGCCATGTGTACAGAAGTTATCCATAAATGTGTTGTGGTGTGATCATTCTACAACACGCAAATACATGTTCCATGATGCATATAAATTGTTTTCAGTATTGATCAGTACAATATTTCAGTATTTTGCCAGTAACATAAGGTTTTACAGAAATAAATAAAAACAACCTATTTGGCTATTTCCACCACAGATCAAGATGTGGTAGACGAAGATGACTTCATCGGGCAGCTGCAGCACGTGGCAGACAAATCCACCAGATAATGTTTTCAACGGCGCCACCTATAGCGGCTAGATGGGGATGTCCCTCATCGGCTATACCTTTGAAATCATTCAAATCAAGAAGATAATAATACCAACTCAGAAAATTTGAAGTCGGGAACAGGGAGTTCAACTTAAGTTTGATATTTCAATGTGTGTTTCAAAGTGTTAATTCGATTTCAGCGGTATGAAGGGCCTTGTTATACGGCTCATATTCCCGCACCAAATACAAATTAATGGCATTCGTGAGTTCATTCGCCACTTGTAAAAATGTAACATAAGGAGAATATGCTATAAATAGTTGAACACCGCCCTGCTTTAGTTTCGTTGAATTGGTATGTCCAGATAATGACCATACTAGAATTCTTTATCGGTAATTTCTACGCACTACAACTCTGGCTTGTCACTCTTTGGATCACTTTTTTTCCCTACAAAACAGAACTTTGTTATCATCTTGGACGAGTATGTGCAATTGGGCCATGCAGTGTTCTTGTGCTATGATGGATTGACATGACTGTCCATTTGTAAACTAATTACTTAAAATTTGATATTATACAGGTGTTTATGACTTCTTGGTTGAAAGTTCTCGCAAAGTTTAACCATTCACGAGTGATCATTAAATTGCACATTCGACGCACCTACCACCAAGCACTGTTGCCGTGTTAATCGCAATAATGTAAATATTTTCCAGTATATTTGGTCCCTTTTCGTACATTCTGTGGGGTCTTAGCTCTGAAAGTTGTCCCTTTATAAACGTTTCTTATTTTTATACTTTCATAGTGCCCTCTTGTAGCTTTGTGCATTCTTAAAAACTGAAAAAGCAAAATGGCCATTGAATGAGGTGATGAAGCTTCAAACTGTAAATTTAAAAGAAAAAGTGTTTTTGTGTCATAAGCTGAAGTTCGATACAAAGTCAATACAAAGTTTGGATGAAGTTTTAAATATAAATTTCAAAAGGGTCCGGTTTGTTTTGTGCCATTTTATCATACTATCTCTGTTTTCTCCACAACCTTTAATGCACTAACTGAAGGCCGGTTCAAAATTGGCGCGAAAACGAACATAAAGGTAAGTTTGTGACGTCAGCTCAAATATTCGCGCTGCAAAGTTCACAAAAGTCGAGCACATTTTAACTCGAGCCAAATTTCGCCGCAAATCTTTCGTGACATCAATTCGCTTCGCTTTCACGCTCGCCCGTAGTAGGATCTGGCCTTTAAGGGACTCCTCAAAATGCATGTATTCTCATTAAGAACATTACATTTTTCTACGCATTAAATTTTATTGCCTTCAAGGACAGATTATTTACATGTAATTAATGATACTGGCAGTCTTAGACTTAGCAGCTGAGAAATACAGAGCTTTCGGTTTTCGTTCCTGAAAAATTAATACTTTATTAATCATTACATAAAGTCATGTGACTCTTAATTCGGATGTGACATTTTGGGAAAGAGGGAAGTTGTTTGTTTCAAAGTACTATCAAGTATATCAAATAAAATTGTAAGGATGACAGAAGTCAAGACGGCCGGGCTTCAATTGGTAATCTCGTTGATTGAACCATTGATGTTTCCTGGAAGAACGTTACGAACTTTATTGCATTGTGGAATAGGATATGGCAATTTGTGTTCAGTAAACCTTTGTTCATAATAAATAGTTGGATTTCCTTTTCCAGTGGACTGTTCTTATTTTTCCTATAATGAAATGACTTTCCCTTTGGCTAAATCGTCTTTCATACTTAGGTGTTATACCTTCAAAGGCTTGCTTTAATTTGTGTCACCTGAGTTCTCTTTAAGTCAAATTTTGGGAGAAGAAATGTAAAAAAAAAAATCGAATAAAATATTTGATGTATTGCGTGTAGTAACTGCTGTGTGCTTCGAAGCTTGTTATTTTTTTCATTTTAGAAAACAGTATGGCCTAATTCGAGAAGACACCATAACTACGGTGGACCGCAGCCACGAGTACATGTCAGTTTGAAGCGCGTTGTGCATTTGACAAATCACGACATCCTATTGTTGGTCGAAGAGGCATGCACGTGTACCGCCTTTCCACGAGCGTTGTGCCGTGCAATTACGGCTTCTAATCATTCTGGTCGGTGTATTACACCATAAAACGAGCCGAATTCCCTTACTGCCATTGTAAGCGTCACATCGTCGTGCCGCCGCGTCGCATCGTTGCATCTTCACATCGTTGCAGTTGTTGCATCGTCCCGCCGTCGCGTTGCATCGTCGCGCCGTCGCATGGTCGTGCCGTCGCATCGTTGTATTTGCAATCTGTAGGCCTGTTCATTTTTTTTAGAAAGATTCAGAAAGATTCTGTTTGGATTGAAACGTCAGGCCCTCCATATTTTGAGATTCGTATTTCAGGTCATGTAGTCATCAAGCAGTTTCCAGCAGTTTTGTATTACATATCTTTGGAAGGCATTTTTAACTCATGGACAATTTCATGTTTTGTTAAGGAGGACACCTTTTATTTCTTGGTCCTAGAGCCGCCGATGAGAAGCTATGAAAAAAAAAATATTTTTTTGCATGTTCTCGGAGTCGCCGCTCTGAAAAATTGATGAAATAGCTTTAAAATGGAATTTTATTTTCTTTATTTTTAATTTGTCCTTTCATTTCCAAAATATGTTTTTTCCTCCGCTCTTAAATGTGGCAACTGACATTTTGAGGGACTAAATATATATATACATACTTTTTTCGCCCTCCACTCTAAATGTTCTTGCCTAAAAACTCGAGGACCAAGAAATTAAAAAAGTCTGGCCTGAGGAACATTCCTCTCAAGCACTTGTGGGAGCAACATTCATTCAATAACTGGAATGCACACCGTGTCAAATCTCCAGAATGCCACAAATTTCAGGATAGGTATAATCTGCTCCAAAATAACGGTACTGAGACCAGCTCATCTGCTGACAATTATGCCAAGGTGAATAGTTAAATCATATGCAAATTTTGAGAAATCATTGAACGTGAAGTGGGGGAAAGTTACATGACAAACTAATTCATAAAATCGAAGTAATGGACTGCTCAGGAACTGTTACATGAGTAAGGGAGTGGAAAATGGCATCATGTACAGTACTAGAGAAGGTCGTTAATTTTGGAAAGAA